GTAAGTAACTCTCATTTTTTTTTCATTTAAAAAAACTATTTTGTATGCACACTCATATGCCTCAGCACAACGATAAACTATTAGGTATGAAGTCCGGACAAGCTGCGTTTTCTCCTCTGCTTCTTCCGATGGAATCCAGTATTTGTTCGAGCACAGCTTGTTTTCATACTACTGACAATATCACAATTTTCTTCACTTCTTTCGTCTACACTCCTTCAGCCATTGTATAATTTCATATATGCTAATAATATTAAACATCCATTAGAATTTGTACAAAGTTATATATTTTCTAAATTATTATTCTAATGAATATGAGACTCATCCTAATAAACAATATGTAAGAATAAAATATTAAATAATTTTTTTTTTCCAAATGAAAAATTAATAAAATGCTTCAAACATTTATTACTAGCAATATTTAAAAATTAACTTTAAATATTTTATAGGATATTTGACAAAAAATAGTTTCCATAATGGACGAAATAATATTATGGACAAAACAATATAATTATGCCTTAAACTAATTTTTTTTAGAAATTCATTAGCAAATCAATTAAATGTTAATAATGTCTCATGGAAAAACAATTGCAAAATTGGGATGGGATCATATAAATATTGAATAACTTTAATTTTAGAATCCATTTACAACCCATCAATCAAAGATTTTAAATATACGGAGTTGTTTGAAAATAATTGTACTGTTTTTTATTTATTTATATCTTAAACCATTTTTGTTTATAATTAATGGTTTTTATAATTTTTTATATTTTATTTAAAAATACAAATCAGATTATGTTGAGAAATTAGGGCGAAGGAAAATAGAAATCGACATAAATTCAGAAGAATAAAAAGAGATTTAACGAGATTCGGCAAAGATGTCTACGCCCTCGGGAGCAGAGCGGCGACCTCCTTGTGTCACGGACTAACTTTCCTCAAATCACCCGTGCGGCTTTAGCGCTCTTTCTTAGCACTAAATCAGTCTTACCCCTCACAACACTGGACTTATGAGCCCCAAACACTCTTAAGAAGAATAATAGAGAGAAAGGAATAATTAGCACTTGAATACTAGAATGCTTTGATTCAATGCTTGGGTAAATACAAATGAGGGGAGGATCTCATATTTATAGCCTCCTCCATGTCTTTGGCCTTTCATCTAGCCAATGTGGGACTATTCCAAGTCCAATAGAAGTTTCTAGATTACAATATAATATTCTATCTCTTAGACTATTCTTATGTACATACATAACTCTAGAACATTCTAGGTTATTCTTAGATTCTCTTTAAACCTCTTCCTTCTTGCTCTCTCCTGAATGTGGCGGAATCTTTTAGAGCCCATTTGATGACTCTTTATATCCTGACCTTCTCTAGAATCTTCCATCTCGTGTTCGTCTTGACGACTTCTAGAAAAGATGGAGAATATGGCGGAGCGTGACAAGTGGCTTTCTTTCAATATTCAGAAAAGAGTACATAACAGAGAATATGGGGATAACTCCTGGGGTTACTAACATGTTTATTTCTAACCTCAAGAGTAAACCCTAAGTACAATATGTAATTACAACATTACCCATTTACCGTACTGCGGGGCATTACCCCCGCACCCCCAACTCACATAATGCAACTTCCCGATTTTGACAATTCTTCTGCTCCGCTTTATTTCAGTGTCTGTCCTTATATGTTACATGAGTCATACCATAACAGATTACTTAAAATCACTATAAATTACTTTAGTTCTTTTAATTTTTTTTTGTAAAATAATTAGACTCGCCAATAGCGCCAAGAGTCATTGCAACCACCACAATTATCTTAGGCCGCTGTTGGTGGCCATTGGCATATTGTGGATGACCACCAATAAACTCCTTTGAGAAAAAATTATTATATCGTAATGCGCAACGTCCGAATTAGGTGTAGATGATAGTATTTTATGTATTATTAGCGGTATTATGGTAATATTATGATAAAATAACACTACAATACTACCAATCGTACGTACAAAATATAGGTGTAATAATCACTCCACATTGGACCACGATTAGCGTTATCTAACCTGATTTTGCACGGGATCATGCGAGGCCACGTGTTGTATATAAATATAATGATTTTAAATTTGAAATGTTTTCACAAGAATTTAAGGCATTTTCAAATTAAATTATAGCACTAATTTGAGCACCCCAAGTCTATCTAAAAGGATTTTCTTAGCGAATTTCAAAATGTAATTAATTTGGTTTTTACGATTAAAGTTTAAGTTTCAATGATTTTTATGGTTTGTTCAATGTCATGTCTTTAATAATTATCTTGCATTTCACCCCACGTCATCTCCAAGATCCCTTAAGTGTGTTCTTATTTTCTTATTAGAAGTCAAATCCTCCTTAACTTCAAGTTGAGTTAGGTTGGATTGACCCGGATCCGATCTAAATTAAGTTTGGATTAACTCGAGTCAGGTCGGCTGAACCAAGTTTGGTTTGAGGAAAATGTGTCGTAGGAAGTTAAATGATATGAAGTACTTATTGTTTGTAGCAAAACGTGTCGTAGGAACCTTATAGTTGATTATTCGAGTCACTCATCTTAACACTCTTAACCATAGCCAAGTCATGTAAACCATAAATTATTAAAAATAATGGAACCCGGAAGCTTAAATGGTCGGTGAGTTTGTTAATCGTTGATATAGATCGAGCTCAAGAAAAGGGAAGTCACAATTAACATTATCTAAGACCATGTTATAATAGAATAAAGAAGTCTATGCTGAGGTTGTAAATGATTGGTTTGAGCAATGAGTATGGGATTTGAAGTATATAACTAACATAAGTATCAGGGAAGGTGATCAAGCTTTTCTCATTAGCATTAATATTATTGTTGTTACCAAATGTTCATTCTTATTTATCATGTATATTGGCATAACTTAGTGAAGCAATTCTACTAAAAAAATCATTCAAGGATTTGGAAGAGACCATTGAAGTAGATGGGCGACCAAGTATACTAGTACAACATTGATATTCTTCTAGTGTGGGTTATGTAGGCGAAATATTTGCGTACATAAGATGTACGCAGCGCTGCGTACATCTGAGGTTATTCTGGGGGTACAATGAGATTATATCTGAGTTATACCCCCTTGTAACCTCCGGTATAACCCGAATATAACTCCTCTATACCCCCAAAATAACCTAAGAGCGCTGCGTACATCTTATGTACTCAAATATTTCTCGTTATGTAGAGCCTATTATTTTAAGACCACACAATTGTTCTAATCGTTAACTCTTTCAAGGCTTTGTCTTCCATTTTCCATTTATTATGGGGCCATGCACACATAGAAGACCCCAACTCTGACTCCATTCGGATCTTTAACAGCGCAAATCATATGGAAAAATCTATAAACAATTGGTAGTTCGTCCATGCGATGTTGTGTTTATGGACAAATTCTATGGATTCGACACATGTCACACTTCATTTGTTGTATGTTCCCTATTGTTAATGGTCAAAGCAAAACATAAGTGAATGCATCAAATTGACAAATAAAAATAACTTTTTTTCTTAACTCGAGTTCAGAAAAAAAGGATTTGAAATAGCCGACGAAGCGTTCGTTGTCATTTACAATAATCCAAAAGCTCTTGCA